ATTGTAACGGCGAGAGATGAATTAAAATTTCGGTTTAATGAAGCCATGTGTTCTAGTTAGAGTCCGGAGATTGGGTTTGTTTGTTGGAGCTCGGACTCTCATCTCTCGCCAGTCTTCTTCGCCATGGGACGGCTTTAATTATGAGCTACAAGTCCAGATCTGACGGACGAATGGAAGGACCAACTCTACTGCTACTGCTATATAGAGTGAGAAATGTTGGCGATCCTTTGAGGATTGTGCTGAGGGCATAAACCGGCTATCTGTAATGGAGCCCTTTCGTCGAATATCTCTCTCTCTCTCACTTTTCGTATCTTCAGCGGCGAAGACGAAGGAAAAGAGCCATTAAGCTTAAACATGCAGAGATCCAACGCGAAGGAGTCGCACGCTGCTGCTGCTGCCTCCATGGCCTCCCCGGACGACGATAAAACTTTTTCTTAAAGAAGCAAAACTGTCATCAGGGCGACGTGTAGAACAATGTGTCGTTGTTGCATTGTCGCCGGCATCCGGCATTATAATATTTATTATTTGTGTGTCCCGGATGAGCGGCCGTTACTATAAACCCCCCCCGACCTCACCCGCGACGCGCCAGAATCTCTATTTTATTCAACTGCTTCTTCGTTCTTTTACTTTTCTCTCGCATCTTTTACGACGGCAGAAGTGTTTAAAATTACCTCCGCCGAGACGCGCGCCCTCATTTAATTTTCATGTCCTGCACAAAAAACTCCTCCACTTCCAACTCACACCCACATCCTTTCCCTGCTCCTGGAATTTGCAGGATGAACTTCTGAGGATTAAAATATAATCTCTCTCTCTCACTCTCTCATAACAGTGTGGACCTCGAAAATCTGTTGCATAATTGAGGGACGCCCTCGCAACACTCCATAATCCAATTAAGCGTCAAGAAAACTTTCGGTTTCTAAAGTGGACGTTTTTTTTTCTTTCCTGCGGGTCATCAAATTTTGCCGAAGCTTATGAATAATTGGACCATTTCGAAAAGCATGTTCGCTTGATATGGAAACGCGTAAAGTGCAAATCTCTCGTAAAATGTTTTTTATATTTGATGTAACGAAAATGTAACGTTCGAGGAAAAAGCAGTGTTTTCATATTATAGTGTTGGATGCAAAAGATGCTTATGAAAGTTGAATGTTTGAGGGGTGAAAACAATGAAAACTTAACGTTAGAAAGAGCAGTGTTTTCATGTTTTGGTGATTTTTCAGGAAATTATAAGTACAAATCATAA